AAATTGTAAACAAAGGAAAAAAAGTAAGTTTTGGGACAGGATTAGCAGTTAAGTAACTTCTGATGGATACTATTAAAGTTTAAAAGCAAAGGTAGAATTTAAAAGAATGTATGAACTTGATCTTCAAGTTGTATTTCATGGAGTTCCTTCAGGAGCAAAGGCATCAGCTCCACTCATAATTCATACCTTCCTTGTGATTGTCTGTTAATCCTTTACGTTGTTTCCATTGGTGTATACGATTATTTTATTTGAAAGCAGGTTAACTTTGAGAAGTTTGAAAAACAACTGCTTTAGGCTTTTTCATATGCTATAACTGATCATCTCAATACGACGTTTGAAAGGAACCAGCTGACAGTGAATTCAACGTAGAATTTTCTGTCAGAAGGGTGGTCTGTGTGGCAGTCTGGTTTTGTAATGATTTTACAGCCTTGGAGACTTTGTGGGATAGCTCCACTCTGTACTGTGGGGTTGCTATGAGTCAGATCAACTTGATGGCAGTAGGGTCCTAGTTACACAGATAATGAGGCCGGTATTAATATATATATAAAAAAGAGTTTTAAACTGCATGCCCTTACAGGGTTATAGTAATCTGCGTCTTAAAAAGTAGTTTTGGTTTATTTAAACTAAGCAAATCCTGTTTTCCTAATCAGCAGGCAAAGAGAGGAGATCCACATCAAGCTTTTCGGTTATGGCTTAAAAAAAAGCATGAAGAGCAGATGAAGGAAAGAAAGACAGAAGAGCTAAGAAGGCAAGAAGAATGCTTATTTTTCCTTAAAGGAACAGAAGGCCGTGAAAGGGCTTTTAAACAGTAAGTTGTGAAGGCAAGGGATTTTTTACCCTCTCCTCACAGTTATATCATAATAAGTTTATTTAAAAACCAAAGTATTTTCTCTCTTATAGTGAGAATTTTAAATCTAGGTGTATTTAGATGTGAGATTATTCTTTAGATCCATAGGTTTGTTTTTTTTGTGTGTGTGTGTGTGTATATATGTGTTGTTGTTGTTGTTAAGTGCTGTTGAGTGGGTTCCAAGTCACAGTATCCCTGTGTAGGGTTTCTGAAGCTTTAAATCTTTGCTGGACCAGAAAG